ACGCCGTGCTCCCGCCTCTGTAGCATGACAGGCAGCCCGGTCTGCCTCAGGCCCGTCACTCCTCCCCGTACCCTCTGAGCCCTGGGGTCCTTGGCGCTGACCCCAGCCTGTCTGAGGGTGCTGCACACATTAGGGATGGGGTCTTGGGGTCAAGGAGGAAGGCGTGTGAGCTAAGCAAGGGGCAGTCCCTGCAGTGCCTCCTGCTACCCCTGCCTCCCCGTGGCCCATGCACCCCCCGGCTCCTCCGCCAGCCTCCTTCCCTCCCTCGGCTCCTTCGTCAGCCTGCACCTCTCCGCCACCCTGTCCTTCCCCAGCTTACCAAGTTCAGGGTTTGGAAGAGGAGATGCACAAACTCTGGAGCACTCATCTCCTGCAGCTCATCAACCAGCTTCCCCTGGGGATGCAGGGTGATGCCTGTCACCACCCCTCGCCCCCTCACCTTTACCAGGACCCACACTTGTTTTGTGCCTTGGGAGCCTGGCACACCCCAGAAGTCCCAAAGTGGGAGGAGACGGAGAAGAGAAAGGTTTGGAGGGTCTATGACACTGGAGGACAGAAGGCTGCAGTGGAGGCCTGGAGAGCTGGTGGGGGCCACCCACCAGGAGGTTGAAGCTGTACTTGATCTTCTGGAAGCACTCGATATACTCCGCCGGTGTCACCCCTGGGGGGAGGAGAGAAAGCAGTGGTCACAGGTCATCCCAAGACACCTCCCACTTCTCTCCCCTGGCCCTCGGCACTCACCATTCTGGCCTTTGTCCTTCTTTTTCCCAAATTTCCTCTTCTTGTTATATGTGATCTTAGCCTGGGTCTCCTTCATTTTTCCCACGAACAGCTCGATGTCACTTAGGACATGGTTCAGCACCTCCTGGGCCCCAGACAACCCGTGGCCTCCAGTGCACCGGCAGGCTTGGCATGGAACTCCCAACCCTGCCCTCTTCCCTGCTCCCCTGCTCCCCACAAGCCTCAGCTTAGGTCTGGGGTCTGAGCAAGCCTCCCTGTCCCTTCCCAGCCCAGAGCCACCCATCCCCTACCTCGGCCCTCTTGGTACCCTGCTCCCAGGCCCACAAAGCCTCAGCGTGCCCAAGACAGTATGAGTTACCTTATACCACTCTGGGTCTTCGGGGGGTGGGGAGCGCCTGGGAGGAGGTGGCGTGAAGGCTCTTGGTTCACGCATGCTGGGGTGGCGGGACACCGGTGGGGATAGTGGGATGCCTGCAATGTAAGGGGACCATGGACCCAGAGCTTCTTTGGCTTTTCAATTAAGTCTCGTCCATCTGCCCTTACGTCCGGAACTTACTGTGCTCCGGGGTCATCCGGTGGGGCTGTTCCAGGGGGGGCCTCCACTCCGGAGGGTGTGGCCGCTCCAGAGGGGCCACCTGCTCCGGGGGGAGTGGTCTTTCTAGAGGAGGCCCCCTCCATCTGTCCTGCCTTGAGTGAGGAACTCCAAATCGGGGTCTGCTGAGGACATGGTGGGGTCACATCTTTGACAAGGTTCTTGGGACCGAGGCCCTGGCCACACTTCTGCCCCGGGATCCAGGGGCCCCAGCACCTCTCTCTAGGAGCCATGACACCTCGACACCTTCCCTGGTCTCCACTTGGACCTTCCCTGATGCTGCCCTGCCTCATCTGCCTACTCCCCAAGGCCTCTGTGGTCCCAGATGTTCTCCCGGCATCTCTAGTGCCCTTGGGCCCAACCCCAGCCCTTTTCCCATGCTCATCTCTGTCCTGGTCCTCCCTTAGGTCCTGACTCAGGTTTGGTGAGTGACAGAGTCTGGTCCCCAGAGGCCTGAGCTGGGAGACCCCACAGGTGGGCTGGACAGAGACTGCTTACCTCTGCTCCAGCTCCTCCTCCAGGGCCTTTTGTAGGCTGGTCCTCAGCTGTTCCGCCTGGAGGAAGCAGTAGTCAGGCCGGCAGTGTGCACGTGTGTGTGTGCGTGTGTGTGTGCGAGATGGAGATCGCTGACCCGCCTTGTCCCCACGGGCCACTCACCCCAACCTCCTGGCACTGGAAGAGCAGAGTGCTGGTGCCTGGCAGGCCTGACTCTTGCACTGTGATGGACAGGATGGAGTTGAAGGAGCAAGTATTGAGTGCCACATCCATGGCCTGGATGCTGTCCAGGCGGTATGAGTCCAGCTCCTCCTGGCCCAGGGAACAGGTCAACAGTGAGGCCACTGAGAGCTGGCCTTGGCTCCTGGGAAATCCTGGTCAGGAGCATCCCAGCCTTCCAGTGGCCTGGGGCTGGTGTCATCCTCCCGACCCTGTGCCTCTACCTGCAGCCCGGTCTCTTCCTAGCCTGGGAGTGCATTGCATGTGGGAAGGGTAGGGGTGTAACAACAGCTTGCTTTAGCTAGAGTGACTCCATTCTTGTTAAGCAAGCATCAGCCTGATACTCTTCGTTTGAGATCTCTCTTAGGAATGCCAAGGAGATGAACAGTCAACCTGGAGCTTGAAACTATGAGTGCCTTTCTGCCTCAGGGAACCGAAACTGCTGTCCTGAAGACAAATTGCTTGATTATTTCCCCAGCTAAAAATTAACCAGACTGTGCTTTTCTGTACCTAGCTGTTAGCGCCACAGAATCTCCCTCACCCTACAAAATCATCTGTAGGTTGGATGACCAGTTGAAGATAGTCTCCTTTTGTCTCTCACCAACAATTTTGCCTCTCTGTGTTTTGTTGAGCTAGAAAGGGTCAGACCTGCTTTGAGTCTCTGGACTGGGCATAAGGGCCCCTTTTTCTACCACAGCTGCTGTCTGGGGCATGGAGGGTGAAGTCTGAGAGCCCAGGGCTTGCTTTCCCATAGCCTAGGTTAGCTTGGGCCCGTCACTGGCTGTGGGGGAAGGGCTGACCTTGGTCTCGATGTCCTGCAGCTGGAGCCAGCCATCTTTGACCTGCAGGATCAAGTCTTGGCTCCACACTCGACCCTGCGTATCCATCTCCTGCAGCTTCTGCAGGGCATCCTTGGGCTCTCGGACTCTCTGGGTTCCCAGCTTACATGTCATCAGGTGCTAAGGGGAGAGGAAGAGGCCCAGAAGTGGCAGAAGGCTTGAGGGGGGATTGCAGGTGGTAGTGAGTAGGGGAAAGACAACAGAGAAGATGTGTCCTTGATCCCTTGTGGGAGGAGCTCCTGGGCTTAGACAGAGTGAACTGCAAGGACTGGTGCAAGGGTCAGTGCTGAAGCAGTCGGGCTAGGGCTAGGGCTAGGGCCCCCGGGTCTGACACTGTATGAGATGTTTTAGGACTCTGGAAAAGGACGTTTGTGGCCTTGAATGGTCCGGTCAGGTGAGTGATTCTACCTGTCTTACTAGTAATGTCTGAGCTCCTCTGGGTGGAATCTGGGTTCTTGATTCTGTCCCTGGCTTGTTTTGCTCCCACTGGGAGCTCACCATTCCAGCCTGCTCTTCCTCCTGGCTGACCCAGTACTCCTGTCTCTATGCCTTTGCTCAGGCGGGTCCTCATACCCAGAACATCTTTCCCACTTATACTGTCTATCCCACTCTGGTCTTTCCGGAAGACCTGGCCCCATCTTCCTGATTCTTGCACAGAGAGACCCACGGGGGCCTCAGTCTACACAGCATCCCGTGCCCACCGATAGTCTAGCCATTCGATAGGTCTAGGAGACCCCTTCCTTTTCCCTGCTAAATTCTGCCTTCGCAGGTCACCTTGCAGCTGGGTCTCTTGTGTGTACATCAGGGGATGCAGCCTGTCGCTTGATTCATTCCACCCCTTGCTCTTTGTCCGCTTCCCAGGCCCCTCCTTGTGTCCGCACTGTCATGTTCAGGGACCCCTGTGAGCGAACGCCCATCATCCTGAACCTGTCTCCTCTTGCTCTCATGTGCTGAGCCAGTTCCCAGCCCCCGCCCCACAAGAAAGGTGACTACTGCTGGCTGCTCCCAGCTGGCTGAGGGAGCCTGCCCCTGCTGTCCTGCCGGGGCTCCAGACCATTGTCCCAGTGTCCCTGCCTGCTGCTTCTCCATAGAGCTTTAATATCTGATGCTACCGAGACCCAGGTCTACCCCAGAGCTTCCACCGATGCTCTCTGGCCACGTCCGTAGCCTGCCCTTTGCTTGCGTGGCTTTTACTCTGTGTTGATAACCCTCCAGGCAACCCTCTGGCAGTGCCTGTGTCTTTTTCCCAGGTGGGGTCAGAGATGCCATTCCAGCCTCCCCACAGCTCACGCCACTCCCCCTGGGAGCTCAGGCCCAGCCTGCCCCTGATAGGACCTGCAGCTTCCCAGAGCATTCCCTCCAGCCATGGGAGATCCTGGCAGAGAGCAGTTTCCTGGGGACAAGTGTGGCAGGAGGCAAGAGAGGAGACGGTGGGAGTAGCCCAGGGGTCTCCTGGCCCACTCCCCCGCTACTTCTTCCTGTCTGGGACAGGACATCCACCCCTCAACCTCCAACCCAGCCTGCTCTGCCGACACCTGAGTATCCCTCCTTCCATTGCAGTTAGTAGGTGCTCGCTCAGTCCTCCTACTTAGTAGGAGAACCCCAGGCTAGGGAAGGAGGACCAGGGAGGTGATAGTATGGCTGGGCCCCAGGGCAGGCGCCAGGTCTCCCACTAGTTGGTCAGTAAGCTTGCCATAATGGGCCTGGGAAACCTGAGTGGACAGGGCCCTGGGACCACAGCCTCGGTTGAGCTGAGTCCATGAGATCAGGCCGGGTCAGGAGGCTGGTGTCTGTGGCAGGGACTCGTGTGTGATGTCTATGTTTTGGTAGGGTGGTGGGCACACGGACACACACAGGGTTCATTGGAAACAGGCTAGGGCCCCAGCAGAACTCACCTCCACTCTGTGCTTCAGGAGGGTGGGCTCTGAGGCCAGGCTTTGGGAGTACTCCTTCCGGTGCTCTGCGGGGCACAAGCAAGGGGTTGGGGGTGGGGAGGAGAGGGAGCTGAGGCTTCGGCAGGTGCAGGGGATGGTCAGTGTGGGAGGGGAGGCTTGGGGTGGGGGTACAGGGAGCTGGGAGGGAGGGCAGGCGAGCAGGGCCAGGGTGTAGGGAGGTGAGGGCTTACGGTAAATGGCTCTGCTACTGGGCCGGGACATGTCGCCACGCTGTTGAGGACAGTTCCCTAGAACCAAAGTGGACCAAAGAGGTAGCCATTGGAGTGGGGGGTTGGGGGGGAGAGGAGGAGCCGGCACAGAATACAGGAGGGCTGCCATTGCTCTGGCCCGGGGATGTTTACCTTAGAGCCCACCCCATTGGCTAGGCCTGGAGGGCCCCAGGCCAGGGAAGGAGGCCAGGGAGGTGATAGTATGGCTGGGCCCCACGGCAGGCGCCAGGTCTCCCACTAGTTGGTCAGTGAGCTTGCCACAATGGGCCTGGGAAACCTGAGTGGACAGGGCCCTGGGACCACAGCCTACTCGTGGTCCGAGTGGGGAAGATGCCAGAGGAGTGGGCTGCCCTCGGCTGCCACAGGGAGGTGGCGACCTCGGCAGCTTTCCCTCCCTGCCTAGCCCTGATTCAGTTCTGCAAACCGGGAGGAGGCTGCTGCTGCCTCTCAAGCTAGGAGCCTGTCGGGAGGACCGGGCGTGTGTGACGGTGTCTGTGTGTGCACGCGTGACTGTTACGGTCCGGCAGTGTCGGATTCGTCTGTGATCTGCTCCCATCTCTGTCGTCCCGTACTCTACCTACTGCCCAGGATCCCTCCCCACCCCAGCCCAAAGATCACCTCCTTGATGAAGCCCTCCTTCATTCTCCCACCTCCACCTGCCCAGAGAGCTCTCCTAATGCCACGCTGAACCTCGGATATTCCTTTCTAAAAGAACACGGTGACACCAGCCGCCCGGTGAGCGCTGCGAGCCTGATGCCGAGCCGTATGGACACGGTATCAGCTCCACCCACGTGCACTGACTCGGTGCTACGTACCAGGCAGCGTTCTCAGGGCTTCCCCTTCATTAGCTCATGTAACCCTCAAAACGACCTCGTGGGGTAGGTACTGTCACCGTCCCCATTTACAGGTGAGGACCCTGACACGCACAGAGGATGACGACAGGCCAGAGGTCACAGGTGAGTATTTAGTGGAGCTCTGGCCCGCCTGGCCGCAGACTCGGGTTCTAGTTGTGTATGAGTGTGCCCCTGTCACGGCTGTGAGCTGGCACAGGGCTGGAGAGTGCACATCTGCTGAAACGGGACCGGGTTGAGTGCGTGCCTGCGTGTGCGGGGTGGGGTGGCACTTAGTCATGAGCGTGAGTCAGGGGCTGTGTCATCTGAGGGAGGCATGTGTGCATGGCGAAGGCTGTCCGTCTCGTGGGTATCCACGCAGCTACGCGGTCACCTGAGTGGTTCAGAAACCCGAGTATCCCGGGCAAAGTGTAGAGCAGCCCACACCCTGTTTATTAGGATGGTTATGAAAATAACACGTCTGATAAGGTGATTCAGGGCTGTGGAAATGAACTGCCAGTAAACAGTTAAACGTGGGGGAGGGGCCAGAGCTCTGGCTTCTCGTTTGGGAGGACCCCTTTCCTCTTCAGAGGTAAGGGGTGCTAGAAGCAGGCTCCCCTCTCTTAGTCTCCCTCCGCCCCCTAGGCTGTGCCACTTCCTGCTTCTAGACAGAAGAGAAAACAAGCAGTGCCCAGGTCAGCTCTGCTGCTCCCCCATCCCAGGGCAGTCCCTGCGCGTCCTGGTGGGTCCCTGTAGGCAGGGAGTGGCGAGGAAACAGCTGCTGCTGAAGATCCTGACCCTAGGAGAGGGAGAGGGAGAGGGAGAGGGAGAGGGAGAGGGAGAGGGAGAGGGAGAGGCGCAGGCCTTGGGCTGGCATGGCCCCGGGCGGG